TGGGGCAGGGGCCGGGCCCGGTTTTGGGGAGCGTGACCTTGCCTCCCCTCCCTTGCATGGCTTAAGAGCGGTCCTTGCAGGGTGGGGGTTAACGCCTGGGGTTAACTGCTTTCTTCTCCTCTTTCTCCCAGGCTGTGGCATCGCGATGCTGATCATCTCGGTCCTGATAGCCATATATTACAATATTATTCTGTGCTACACCCTCTTCTACCTGTTTGCGTCCTTCGTACCTGTGCTGCCTTGGGCTTCCTGCAACAACCCGTGGAACACGCCAGACTGCAAAGATAAGAACAAACTTCTGTTAGGTGAGTTGGGAGAGGCTTTTTTTAAATTGTTGTCATTATTTTTATTCTTGTGTGCGTGGTCGCAGTGGGTTTCCAGAGCTTTCTCCGGCTCAGCTGCACCCCTGGGAGATGCCAGAGCAGGCTGCAGGTGACCATGCCTGGGTGAGGGTCCCAGCACCGAGGACCCATCACTTCCCAAACCGCTTTGAAGTGATCTGCATCCCATGGGCACTTCCCAAACTTTTTAATTTAAAGTTTTCCTCCTCAAGGAGAAATGGGATTTTTCAACTAGAACACTAAAAGAAGCCCAAATTTTTTTTTGGGAGGGCTAAAAGCTCTGCGTAAGGGAGAAAGCATGGAACATAACACTATAGCTGGCAGCCCAAGTTCTTCCACTTCCTCAGACTCTTTTTACTCCTTAGACATTTGGGATGAAGGGGAGAAATCGTGACAGATATTAAGACCCATTTCTCTCAGAATAGCTTCCATAAGCAAGGTGTTCCCGAAACCTGACACAGAACAAAAGCTCAGGCGATCTGTGGGATCTGAGGCTTTGTGCTGTCATTTTACACCCAACCCGAAAAAAAAAAAAGAGTTATTTTTCTTTTTGTTTTCTTTTCTTCCTAGATTCCTGCATTATTAGTGACCACCCAAAAATACAAATCAAGAACTCTACTTTCTGTATGAGTGCCTATCCAAACTTGACTATGGTTAACTTCACCAGTGAAGGAAACAAAACGTTTGTCAGTGGAAGTGAAGAATACTTCAAGTAAGATCTTTCTTTGTTTCGAGACCTTCTGTTAATCTTTCTCTAAAATCCCCTGCAACAACAACAAATCACTGTTTGGAAGACGAGAAATACAATACTTAAGGACAGTAAATGATACCCATTTTCTATGCATAGGAATGATGAAAGCTGAATTTCAAATGCTGGATGATTGGTGTTCTGCTCCTATGGTGCTTAGCACAGCTGGGGTGTTGGCCCATGGCTGGCGTTTTTATCTACTACTGCAATGCAGATAAATAAAATAATACATGGTGAGAATCACTGGAACCTTCTAGAGGAACCGCTGAGAACGCTGAAGGGCAACAAAATACTGCAGGAATTTGCACTGAATTACTGCCTGCATTTGAAATAATTACTTTTTCTTTTTTTTTTTTTTTTTTTCTAGGTTAGGTATCTCTATTCTTAGGTACTTTGTATTGAAGATTTCAGCAGGGATTGAATATCCTGGTGAGATTAGATGGCCTTTGGCACTCTCTCTTTTCCTAGCTTGGGTGATTGTCTATGCCTCCCTTGCTAAAGGCATCAAGTCATCAGGAAAAGTAAGAAAAACATTTGTGATTGTATGCTTGCTCGCAAGAAAGCAGTGTACTGCTTCAAGGGGATCACACTCTTGTTTAAGGCAGTGAAGTACTGGCAGTTATTTTCAGTAAATGGCTGTTAATGAAAAGCCTTTTTCCTGTCTGTGTTTTTGTTTCTAGCCAAAACATAAAAAAAGAGAATTTTGGTTCAGTGTTCGTTCCCTAATCTTCAGTGAGGTTAAAATTAAACCTTGAGCTGCGCTCAGCAGTTGGATGGCAAAAAAAGTGCTTTCAGCAGCCTTCCCTATTCTGTGTGGTCTTCGTTAAAATTCTGCATTTGTCTCACATTTCACTGTAATCAGGGAAATTGTGATGAAAATTAAGGCATTAAGTTACATGTTTTAAAATCAGAACTGAGCTTAAATTAGCCTATGGTGAGTGTGAGCAGTGACAGTGTGTCTCCTCTTTTCCCAAATATTTGCGTGCCATCTTTCTAAAACTCCTCCTTGTGGTAACCCAGCTCCTTGCTCTGTTTCTCTGACTTCTCGCTTGTCACACTCTCTCCTGCCCCTCAGATCTGCAGCTTTCTGCCATGCCTCCTAACTAGCAACCATGTCAGAAGGGACCGTGTCCTCTCCTTGGCATGGAAGCACAGGCGTACGAACGGGCCAGGCAGCTGTCTGAGCAGAGAAATGCAGGTTTTTCTTCAGCGGCAGCACTGGTTTGCGCGGGGTTTTTTGTGAAACCTGCAGGAACAGTATCACAGAATGTTTGGGGTCGGAAGGGACGTCTGTGGGTCATCTAGTCCAACCCCCCTGCTGAAGCAGGGTCACCTACAGTAGGCTGTAGAGGACCTTGTCCAGGCGGGTCTTGAATATCTCCAGAGAAGGAGACTCCACAACCTCCCTGGGCAGCCTGTTCCAGGGCTCCGTCACCCTCAGAGGGAAGAAGTTCTTCCTCATGTTCAGACGGAACTTCCTGTGCTTCAGTTTTTGCCCATTGCCCCTTGTCCTGTCGCTGGGCACCACTGAAAAGAGCTTGGCCCCCTCCTCCTGACACCCACCCTTCAGATATTTATAAACATTTATAAGGTCCCGAATATCTGGTCCCCAATATCTGAGACTTCTCTGTCAATGCCACTGCAATTGGCACGGAGGTTAAAATGTTAGATGATGACACAGCATAAATCTAGCTCATTTACAAAGAGTAGGCTGAGCAGAGTAACTAGGTATTTCCTGGGATAAAGATAGTGGAGATGCAGAGATAGCTAGGAGTTTTCTAGAGCCAGGCACAGGGTTTCTGGTTCCAGGCCATCACTTTGCATCTAGAAGCTGGCAATGTCTGTTGGGAGGTAGCCTGGTAATTAGCAGAAAATCCAGAGACCCAGAATGCCAGGGGAAAGCTGGGGTTCCCCCACCCCCACACCCATCCGTATCTTAGAGTGGTAGGAATAACTGTTTCATGACAGACCAGAACCAAGAAAGAGACGATGTACAGGAGAATAACCTGGGTTTGGAGGTGGCAATAGATATTTCTTTAAGTGAGTATTTATGGCCAAGAAAAATATTGACCCCTTGGTGTCAGGGAGAGAAAACCCTTGTTTATGGATAGATGAGTTCGGTATATTCACTGCACAGAAATTCATCGGGGCAACTTCTTGAAACACCTCTTGAACCAGCAAAGAGAATGTTGGGACAGCAATGTCAAAAGTCACTTCAGCTCAGAGGACGCTGGTCCCCATAAGATATGGAGGTTAATGTAAATAGGATTTGAAATGCTTTTGGGTAGAGCGTGCATCTTAACTGGGCATAACCTGGCCATTTTATTTAACCACAGAGAACGCTCTGCTCTCTGCTGGACAATTATTAAGATATTAAACACACAATCTCTGTTGTGTATTTAGACATCACGATGATTAGGTCTATCTGATTGTTCTGCTTTCTTTTTTTGCATTAGGATCACAAATACTGTCATGGTGATATGTAATTATTCAGAGGTACAAACAGTAATAAAAATTCTCTAGGCTTAGTTAAATACAGAGAGATATATAGAAAAAATCAGAAATGTAAGTGTTATTAAATGATATTATTAATTTGATTTCCATTGAACTGTGTTAGTTGACTCTGGACGAAGATCAAAAGTGATAATTTAGCTGTAAGTTCCTATTGTTCCTCTCCAGACTTTCTTTTCTTTTTCTTACTCTCTCTGTCTAGAATCCCAACCCTTACCTCTGTTGCTGTTGAGAATATTCCTATTTCCAGCAGCAAGAAGAGCCTAACATTTCAGATTTCCTGGGAAATAACCCTGTTGCCTCTGAGTATGAGTAACTGCTTTCTTCAGGCAACAGCGTAGCACTTGTATCCCCCCCCTTCTTATACACCCAAATAAGCCCTTTCAATAATCTTTCTTTTTGTCTACCCAGGTGGTCTACTTTACAGCTACATTCCCCTACGTAGTTCTCATCATCCTTCTTATAAGAGGAGTAACTCTACCTGGAGCTGGAGCTGGAATCTGGTACTTCATCACGCCAAAGTGGGAGAAGTTAATTGATGCTATGGTGGGCTTATTATTGCACTTGTAACTCTGCTAGGGTGAATAATTCAGACGGATTTCTTAATGCCTGTTGCAAGCGTTTTCTGTGTGCAGAGGCAGTGTTGTCATCCGTGGAAACTTCTTTTTCATCTTACGTGGAGTGTTGTCACAATGGATGCTTGTTATTTGGGTTCACATGATGGCTTTGTTTACATATATTGTTAGAGATATGACATTTACTTCCCATTTAATATTTCACCTGGACCTCTCGGGGTAGGTGCATTTGGAAAATAGGGAATTAAAAAGAAACTATAGATTTTCATACACCGGTGTCCAATGGATGCTGCCTTGACTTGAACAAGCACACGAGGCTTTTAAGAGGTAACATAATAATCTTCCCTGCATTTCTTGAGAAATGCTCAGGATACGTGTATTTTACTCATTGAGCAAGGAAGATTGTTCTGAGTAATATATCTGAGACAGTAGATTAAACAGAATTAAATTATACATCGCAATCTAACTCCCCGATAGCAGGTATACTGGCACAGAGCAGCTGTGCTCGTTGTCCCACCCGCACCGGGGGAAACGCGGCTGCGTAGGAGAGGACGGAATGAAGGGACGTGGCACCTGGCTTTGCTCTTCAAGTGTTGGCTGTATGAGGAGGAGCTTCACCTCTGCTGCCTCACTCATGATTGCAACCGATTTCTAAAAAGCCATTTGTTGCCAATGAAGCCGGTGAAACGTGTTCCAAAAATACAGCTGGATTTGTGCCTGTGTAGGCGTAAATCCCACCCACGATGGCGTGTTTGGTTGATAGGGCACACGGGCGCCTGTGTGTCGGTCCGAAGTGCCTGGAGGCAGGAGTCTGGAGGCTGGGTTGAAGCCTGAGCTGAGAGTTGCAATTCGGACTCTTTTCTCTAGAATTTTAAGAGGGAATTTTAGCAGCACCTCAGGAAGTTCACTGTCTGTTGTTTGTATGTTGGGTTTTTTTTTTCTACTCTAGAAAATTTTACCCTCTATCGATAACGGTTTGATATCACACTGATAGCTTGATAATTAAAGCTGAAAACAATTTCCTGGGTGAATTGTCCAGATCTTAATTTGCTTAGTGCTTCTGCAATAATGGATATTTTGATCCTTTGATGATGGGAGAATTAAATCTTACAGACAATACAGGAGTTATTTTTGCATTAAATCTGAGCAGTTTTGGATCCCTCATTGTGCAGTCAAGGAGGTGAGAACTGTTGTCTTTCGCAAAACGGGGCTGTCTGAGTACACAAAGTATCTGTGTAACCCTGGGTAAGCGTTCGATAATATTCAACGAGCTTCTGTTTTTAGTTTTACTTGCAATTTTAGTACGAATGAAGAGCTGTATATTGTGCTCAACTAGAGGAAGGATTGACTGGTTGCTGGCTGGTGACTTTTAAAGTAGTGCTGAGGTAATATCTTCCAGCTGGTTAGAGTGTGTATAGGTCCACCTGTATGTCTGTGCATGTACATGTATCTCCATTTCTGCGCTGTGCACTTGGGTGGAAAATCAGACTTTGTAGGAAAGCTTGTAAATAGAAATACCAATGCTTCGAACATTGTACAAGTGGTAAGTAAGATCAGCTCCTTTGAAATCCCAGGCAATTTAGAGATGTTTTATCTAAATGCATTTGAGGCTTTGAAGAACTTTGTTACAGAACAAACAATGCTGTTTGGTTTGTTTTTTTGAAGAAAGACTCGGTTGAACATATCTTTCTTGTGATGGGAGGAAGCCGGGTCCTGGTGTCTAAGTAGCGCTAAATTATGCTATGCTGTTTGATGTACACCTGATGATGGAAATTTACCCTAATTTTAATGTAATCTCATTCAGAAGTCATGCATCAAGCAACACCGAGTTTCTTACTTTATCATGAACACAGAGTATTATTTAGGACCAGTGGGGGATAAACCATCAGCACCTGATGAGATTTTTTCCTCTTGATTTGTGTTTTCTTTGCTGAATGTATTTGAACTGGTATATATCGAGCAACCTAATTTGAATATTTTTGCCGTCCATACGCGGCAAAAGCTATATTGTGATTTTATATGGGCTCAACAAGAACTGCACTCCTCATCGAATGGGCACTATGTATTCCGAGGCAGGATTTTGCTTTTAAATGTCTTACTGACATCCATTGCTCTGAAGTTCATTTGAACTACTTAAGTGTTAATCCCCAAACAGTAATGCTGAATAGTGTTATTGATCTTTCTAACCCTCTTTCCTGAAGCCCATGCTATTTCCTCTCCTGTCTGTCTTAGGTTTGGAAGGATGCTGCCACTCAGATTTTCTTCTCCTTGTCTGCAGCATGGGGAGGTCTAATTACTCTCTCTTCTTACAATAAATTCCATAATAATTGCTACAGGTATGTGAGAGTGAAACCCATCAGGCTTATTAAACAGGTCTTGTCCAAAACCAGCCATCTTTCAACTTGCAGAAATCTGGTTTGAAAGACCCTTCTCTTTTTTATTTTTTTTTTTTAATTTTATTTATTTTTTTTCTTCTTTGTTTTCTGTGTGTGTGTGTTTGGTTTGTGTCTTTAGTCTTTTTTGGTTTTGTGTGTTGTATCTTCCCTCCGGGTCCTAATCTACTAGTCTCAAAATGAGCTTTGGGTTTGTTATAGTCCCTCTTGGCTCTTCATTTTCAGAATCAGCAGTTTTAGGTTGAAAAGCAGTCCGGGAAGCTGTCAACAGCTGTGAGCAGTGGTATGAAACCGCACCAGTTGGCAGCCTCTGCTGAAGAACAACCCCTGCGTAGAATGGGCTGAAGTTTACCTTTGAGAGACATGCAGGAGTTTAACAGGCGATTTCCATACATGTGATTCTCATCTCTCCTAAATGTTATTATTTTTTCCAGTTCTCCTTACTGGGGTTTTACATGTACACAGTTATTTCAAGTTGTGAAATTTAAAATCACTTTTATCGGAAATCACTGAAAATTACTTATTGTTGTTCAGTTAGCAAAGAAAAAATGTCATTGTTCCGGTGGTATAGTATAGTTTTTCAACACAAAGCGTGCCAGATAAATGTCTGCAGATGGAAAAAGCAAGTGGAGTTAACAGAATGCTTCACTGCTGTTTTATTGTCTTTAAAGCCAATCTTGTTTCTACTGAAGCAGAACTTTACCGATTCCTGCAGAGACAGAGGTGCTGATTCAGGCCAACAACCAGCATGCGCAGGGACCGTCCCAAGGGCGTACTTCAAATCTTTCCTGAATCAAGCACACGCTCTTTGGGATTTGAACTCCTATATCCTATAACTTCTAAGTACTCTATACAAAATATTTACCTTTAGAAAGAAACGTGGATCAGGATTTTAAAAAAGAATTTAAAAGCCACTTCCTACTAGTGTTCAAAAGTAATTCAATATAATTATCCTAAAATATGGATGAACAAGTAACAGTGTTGCGTACTCAGTAACTTCCACCCAGCAATCCTTTGGGTCCTATTTTAAAAATGTTTGTCTTGGGCTTTGATTTTGTTTTTTTTATGATGAATGAATATATTCGGAATATCAGGGCAAAAATGAGAGAAGTGTCATGCTATCTTTCTACACTAATTTAGTAAAGTTTTGTGGAGTTTGGAAAATTTTAAGGAAAATTTTGAATGGAATACATGGTAATGAAGTATAAAAGTCTTAAAGGTCTAACACTAAATACATGCTTTACCTATGTTAAAGACGACTATGGGACACTGAAGCAGAAATAATTAGAAAAGCTTAGTTACTTCTCATCTCATTAATTTTACAACACATCCTGAATACTGAAGTGAAGCATGACTATTTTCCTTTTTCATTTTTGTATTCGTTACTTTCTAATACTGGAGATAAAATTGTAGTTTTCTGTTACATATTCATTTTAAACATCATTAAATGATCTATAATTGCAATGAATTTATGTAAATTCACTTCATAATGCATACCTGAAATACTTTACTTAAAACCTAGCTGACTTTTCGAATAATGTTAACACATGACGATTCCAAACAGAATATTGCCATTTTTTTCTATAGGCCTGAAGATTTAACATAATCATTCCTGTTAAGAGATGGTCTGTTACAGATTCCAGAAGTTTGCCAGCTCAGTGAGGTTCTTGACAGCTTTTCAAGTTATATTTCATTCTGTTCCCAACAAACAAATAGCAGTAAGAACAAGCAATTCTAGCCCACTTAAAAAACCCCACCTTTGAAGTGACTAGTTTGTTCCAGAGTTGCAGTAGTTTAAGCGGACATCTTCTGGACACGCATATTGTGAAGAAAACATAAAAATCCTACCAAAAATGTAGTAATTATGAATGGGGATCAAGAGAGCTGGTTTTCTTCCAGGTCACGTATATTACCCAGTATAATATGATATTTGGGTATAGATTTCTTGAGCTTCCCTTAACAACAGCAATGGAAAATTGTACCAGGGAATCCTCTACAGATGAGAAGGTGTTTAAGAGTGTGCTGCAAGGTACAGAAAGCCTAACTGTGAAATCTTGTGTATAAATACAAGAAAGATACAGGACAAAAATCGCCTTGCCTGGATGACGGTGGTTAGTCCATATGTAATACAGTGAGCAGATATCCATGTGAGGGAAAGAGTGAAACACTGCGTTACAAATCATGTCGTCATTGCTACCTTCTTCAGAGAGGCCGAGAGCAGAAATCCTTCTCCTCCTGCTTGGCCTGTGGCTTTCTGTGTAGAGTGTGGGTGATGGAAACATGCACAACTGATTCCAGGGGGCGTTATGAGGACTTCTGTCGTCCCTGATCAGCATCAAACATACCCGATAACTGTAAAAATGTAAAAGTAACTGTAAGTGTAAAAGATAACTGTAAAAGTGTACCTTCATCAGCGTTCCCACAGGCTGTGGGTGCTCATGAGAGAGATTCCTGAAATGTGCACAAAACTCTCCCTTGCATGAATTACGGCAAGGTGACGTGGCTTCTTGTGTTTTCTTTTCAGGGACACGTTGATAGTCACATGTACCAACAGTGCCACAAGTATATTTGCAGGCTTTGTCATCTTCTCAGTTATTGGCTTCATGGCAAATGAACTCAAAGTGAATATTGAAGCTGTGGCAGACCAAGGTAGGATATGCTGCTGTTTCATTCCTTAGGTACCTGGTGGCACCTTCAGCTCTATTATTAATGGTGGCATTGACGGTGGGAATAATGGCTTCAAACTGGAGTGGATTAGTAAACTACTTCTAGGTGTTTCTGCATGGGAGAAGGTACACTGGGAAGTACACCAAGAAGTCAAGATATTACTTGAAGCCTCCTTATCACTTATTTGGTAAAAGAAAGAAGCAAGCTGAGAGTAATTTCAAATCTTTATGTAAATGGCTGGTGAGGGGTAGGGTGAAATGTCTCCTTCACATAGTCTAAGCAGTCGCTGGCTGCCTTATTTATCTCTGCTATTGCTTGTCAAATCCTCTTCAAGGTAAAAGGTGTCCCTGATGGTGGAAATCTTGGGTAGGAGGATGGTGGGCTTCACGATATGGGAGGTGGGAGAAATACGGTGTAAGAGGTGGACTGAACTTCTGAAACATGGTGAGCAAGGAGCTGCCTCCATGGGGAAGTAAAAAATTTCTGAAGAACTGATTAGATCTTGGTTAGTGAAGTGAGATGCTGAAAGGTCTTAACTGGTAAAGCTGAATGTGAGTAAGAGTGTGACGGACAGAAGAATTGGTGTTGTCATGTCTGATTTGGTGTGAAGTAGCAGGAGAGAGGAAGGGAGGAGCTTTTGGGGTAAGATTCAGAGAAGTTTAAGAGGTTGTGAAAATCTGATGGGATTGTTACCTTAGTCTAGTCCTACATTTCCTGTGAAACGTGCAGCACTTTGGCTCTAAGCCAACCAACACCCAAATCTTTAAGATCGTTTTGAACAGTGTTAAAAAGACAAGTTTGTAAGAACTTTGTAATAACTTGTATCCGTATTTACACTTCCCTCAACCTAGCTGTTTCTGTGAGCACGTGAGGGTGCTAAGTGTATTGTATTAGCTTTCAGCACAGACACAGTAATTTCCAGCCACTGGAGGGATGTGATTAATATCTTCTCTGTGAGCCATGGGCAAGTTTCCCAATGCTATCCCCCTCAACCCACGATAGCACAGAGCAAAAGGAGAAGCACCGAAAAGTTCAGAAAGTGAATGTTGCCTACTCGTGGCGTCTAGACATGACGTGTCTCACTGTCTGCATGAAGATGAGGACGCTAAATGTTTTCCTGACAGGTTTGTTGTGTGGATAAATTCAGTGCTACAAGGTGCTACACGTAGCCTAAAGTACCTGCGTGACTAAGCATCGTGATTCAGAAATTGTATCAGAGTTGACAATAATATATATAGAATATATAGATAGTATATATAAAGTATATATAGAGCGGGATAGAAATCAAGACAACATTCCATAGTTTTCTGTATGGTAATATTTGTAAGTATTTCAGGACAAATTAGGTATTAAGATTGATCTGCATTTAACAAAGTTGTGGGAGCTAAATGCGAAACAGACAACAAGAGCTGGGGACACAGAAATTCTGTAGTTGTAGGAACAAGAGGTGGTGAAACAGGTGAAGCATTCTTTATTTTTTCTTGAAAAATACATTTTCTGAGAACTCTAATGTTTCTAATTGTTTATTAGAAACCAGCTACTACAGGTGAAAGGAGCACAATAACAGAGGAGGGAACAAGATGTTGCTGCTGATTAAGAAAAAGGAAGGGCTCTAAGTTTCTTTTTGCTTATTTCTTCTCTGTAAATTGAAGCATGGATAATCCCACAGAATTTGCAGTACTTCTTATCTCAGAGATGCAAATAAATGTGCTGGGTCACATGCAATTTCTGCAACTCCTTTGGTTGGTACATGGCAGCCCAGGGAAGCTGGTGAGCTGCAGTTCAGTCACAGGCAGTTAGTCTGGGACTTGCACAAGCTGACTCGTGGTGGGATGGGCAGCTAACCAGGCTGGGGATTCAGCTGGAGGGTCTGAGAGGAGATGTTTGTAGGATGGTCAGCTGGCAAACTGTTTCTTGATAGCACGTAGAATTATAGAATGACTTGGTTTGAATGGGGCCACTAGAGATCATCTAGTCCAACCCCTTGCAATGAACACAGATGTCTTCAACTTGATCGGGTTTCTCAGAGCCTCATCCAACCTGGCCTTGAAGGTTTCCAGGGATGGGGCATCTTCTGCCTCTCTGGGCAATATTTTCCAGTGTTTCATCACCCTCATAATAAAAAATTTCTTCCTTATATCTAGTCTAAATTTACCCTCCTTAGTTTAAAACCATTTCCCTTGTCCTATGACAACAGGTTGTACTAAAAATCTGTGTCCATCTTTATTATAAACCCCCTGCAAGTACTGACAGGCCGCAGTAAGGTGTCCCTGGAGCCTTCTCTTCTCCAGGCTGAACAGCCCCAACTCTCCCAGCCTTTCCTCGCAGGAGAGGTGCTCCAGCCCTCGGATCATTGCTGGGGCCTCCTCTGGCCCTGCTCCAACAAGTCCATGTCTTAGTCCATATCAAGTACTAGGGGATACTACGCTTGCAAGACAATGCAGTATCAATTCAGTCTTTAGTGCCTCATCTTTTCTCTTTGGTCTGCCAGTCAGCTAAGGGGGAACAGAAAAGTTTTGTTGTTGTCCTCATTTTCTGGCTGAATTAGACCTTTATGTTTTAAAAACACCGTTTCAGGCCAGGTGTTTTAGGAGCAGCGTTTCCGTTAATCTTTCTGTTTTACCCACATCCAGAAACAAATAACAAATAAAAAAACCCAACTCCAAAATCTAAACCACACTGCAGTTGCAGAAACTACTGCAAGGAGTTAGATTCAAATCCTTCTCGAAGCAGCCATGCTTGAGTGGAGCTGCAGTGTGAGCTCTGAAGGGGTGGATGGAGAGGGGATGGAGAGACATGGCTGTTGGGGATGGGGGAGGAAACACCCTGAACAAGGCGGCTCGGCTGGCTCATCTCCCTGGAGGTGGCATTAATACTGAGCGCAGGGGATCGCAGCCCCTTTTCTGTTGCGTGCTTGCTGGTGGTCTTTGAGTGAGCAACCAGTGACAGGCTGGAGCTCTCTGCTCCCAGCTGTTTCAGCAGCTGTTCCAGGGGATGTGAAAAGAGCTATCATGAGACCATCGTATTCTAGGGCTGTCAGTGCGCTTGTAAGAGCCCATTGAGGCCATTTAAAAATATTTTGCAAGGATGAGGCTTCACTGCTCTCTGTGATAGGGGAAACAAAATTTCGTCACATAACAGAAGATGACTGTACAGTAGGCAGAGAGAAGGTTAGCGATAACTGCAGATTGAGATAGCACACTCAATTAATAAAACTAAAAAGCAGACTCAGCAGGTGGGGAAAAGAGTCAGCCCTTGTCCCTGCCTACCTTTTTTTATTCTAAAGATGTATTTCTTTTCGCAGTGAAGGAGAGAACAGCAAGAATGATTTTGATCTCCCTTCAGGTTTTTAAAACCTGGAATGAAACTTTTAATGGAAAAGGGAAGGATTTTTTTTCTATTTTTCCTCCTAAAATATTATTATGAAATATATAGTGTTTTTTTCATTTAGAATCTTCTTTTCAAGAAAAATTCGAGTACCTGATGAACAAATACAACACTTTTCAGGGAGGGAAAGACAGGACAATGTATTTTCATGTTGCTCTCTCAGTTGGATTAAGAACAGGCTGCAGTTGAAAAATTTTAGTAATATAAAATGGAAGCTTGTTCTCTGGAGATGGGGAGGGTGGGAGCCAGCCCCCCTGTGACTGTTTACCTGTGCCTGGATGCTCCCTGGCACGTGGTATCTGGGAGAGTTATGAGGGGTCGAGATGGTGAGATATGCACTTTCATATTCTATAATTAAACTTTTACTAAAATTGTGATTAATAGGAGCTAATTATTCCAAGACTGAATTCAACTTCTACATGCAGTTAGCTAGTGCAAACAGAGCCCTTATCTCCAATAGTCAGGAAGAAATCTTTAATCAGGAAATGAAAGAACGTGTTCATGACTACATAGCAATTCTGCATGCACCTTCCTATTCCAAAAAGCCGTTTTTCCGTGGCACATTTTAAAAGCAGCAACACTTACTGAGTCATGCCTGGTGTTTTGTTGTTTGTTTTTTTTTTTTTACAATGTTGTTAACTCTCGTATTTGTCTTTCGTTCAGAAGGAACTCCAAACCCTTCCCAAGTTGCCCATGGAGATTATTTCACATGCTGCCAGAACTGTGTGTTTTCTCTCAGTTTGTGAGACAGCAACAGTTCTCTCTGGAACAGAAACAGCGTGGAGAGCTGTAGGAAATGGGATCCAATAATCTGGGTTAGAAGTGACCAGGACAGAGTGAATTTGGAGCCCCTTCTTGTGGCATGGGTCATGGAATCGGCACAGCTTGGCTCTCGTGTATCTCGCCTGACGGCAAACATCCTTCAGAGCATTTGAAGTGGGCGCTCCTTTAGCTGGAATAGATAGAGAAGAAGTGCCATCTACTGTAATGCTACTGCCACGTTCCTGCAGCGTTTGCTCCCAGGCAAATCTAAACATACTTGTAAAAATAATTTTCTTTACAGTCAATAAAAATTATAGCCCAAGATATGAAACCCACAGAGAAAGGAAAATTCCTGGTTAAGGCTTTAAAAGACCCCATCTCCTCATTTTTACTGCTTTGCATTACTTCACAATTTTGGGAGGATTTTCTTAGATTCATGGTAGTTATTACCTTGTGTCTGATATCAACTCTGTGAATCTGCTATGTTCTCTCCTTCTCATTTGACTGTGTTTTGACGATTTAAAGAAGGGTATTTTCTTTTCTGTTCATCCTTGTCGTGCTGAGGCGTGGGTGATTGCTGTGTTGATCTGAGGCTGGGTTACTACTCAGCAGGGACAGTGGCAGGAATTTTATCATAGGGCAGGAAAGAAAGATAGCTGTAGTACATGATTTTTGTTTGGATCAGTATATTGGTGTACTGGTTAAATATGTATTCTGCAGCTTGGAAAGTAGGAGTGTAGGAGTATTTTGAAACTTACAACCAAAATAGAAATTAATCATGGGAGGCTAAATTCTGCAATGGTTAAATCTTTCTGTAAATAGGGCAGAGTGAATCTGATTTTTTTATTTTACTTTATCAAATCAAGTAATATTATGTTATACTTTGACACATGACTCTTCACATCTCCCTCTTTTCTGTTTGGTCAAAAACATTAATGCAATGCCAAATATCACAGCCTTTATTTTTCTCATTTCTAGGTCCTGGAATTGCTTTTGTGGTTTACCCAGAAGCTTTAACCAGGCTTCCCCTCTCCCCATTCTGGGCTATAATATTCTTTTTGATGCTGCTGACACTTGGATTGGACACTATGGTAAACTGCTTTTGTTTCCCCTTCTTTTCCTCTCATTTTTGCTATTTTTTGTTTGGAGGACCATGAGATTTCTGGTTGTTTTCAATGTGGTCAGTGGAAGTCTTTGCAAACAGAAGAATGAAGTAAGGCCATTAATGCCAGAATCATTTGGGTGAAGCTTTGACATTGACATCTGAGCATCTGATACCTGGGATTCAAAATACTCTCTCTCATGTTCCAATATATCCAACTGGACCAGTTAGTATATGTTGTGTACAGTGATACGAATCGTTTTATTTTGTCTTTCAGTTTGCCACTATCGAGACTATAGTGACCTCTGTTTCGGATGAGTTCCCCAAATACTTACGTACGCACAAGGCACTGTTCACTCTTGGGTGCTGCATCTCCTTTTTCATCATGGGATTTCCTATGATCACTCAGGTAAGAGCACAGCCTTTGAGCATCGCTGTCTGCCCCCGGTCCCCCTCTGGTGGCCATTCTCCTCCTGTGCAAGTGCAAAAGAGAAAGCTGAATTCTGCCGCATGTGCAAAGACACTGGGTGAGTCTGAAAGCCTTACTTTTTCAATGAATGCTCTGACTGAGATATACTTAAAAGACTTTGCTGCTCATATCTTTCTGAGAATCAGACTTTTGAAAATTTCCCTAGCCAAACATCTCCAAAGTAGTAATGGAAATTAGGTATTCATTTAAGGGAAAAAACTTTCGTTTGTCATATAAACATGCACATCAGTTTTGGGTGCCTTCCCTCCCAGATGAAATATATACTGATAGTCTTGGCAAACTGTGGAGTTAATAATGAAATTCTCATCTACCGATGATAGTCTTCAGCGTCTTCTGTCCACTAATTCCTCCAGCATTATAAACTCTCGGCAATTTCAAGAGGAGGTGCACAAAATCTGTTTTACTATTTCATTATTCCTTTTTCTCCCTTTCTCTTTCTTTCCCCTCACCCCATCATCTACCAGCCCAACTTTTCTGCTCTAAAGCCTAGGATGGATTCAGTTCTTCCTTGACTTGAATTCTGCTGCTTAACCCCTGAAGACAGGGCGTTATATCCTTTCCAAAGAGATGAGCTGGACTCACGAGTACGGTTTTCCTGGTTTCAGTGGTGATTTTGCTTTTGCTGTAGTATTAAGTGGTTAAAGACACTGCTGGCGGAAGGTGTCGTTGCAGTTCAGTCCTTAATCTGAAAGGACTGAAACCAACCTCTTCCCAAAGCCTGTTAGCTACCAGACTCAGGTGGACCCTCTGATTTTTTTCCGGTTGGATTTGATATTCCTTCAGCCAGAAGGAAGAAACTATAGTGTGGCATGAGCCTATGTCCAGTCAATGTTTGGATGCTTACCTGGGATAGAGAGTCCTGGGTCCTGCTCCTGTCCATTTTGCCTACTTTAGTGCCAGTTGGAGTTGTGGTACATACAAAGAGAGACAGCAGTTATATGCCACGAGTAATGTCTCTTTTACTTTTTTTTTCTTTAGGGTGGAATGTATATGTTACAGCTTGTGGACACTTACGCGGCTTCTTATTCTCTTGTCATTATTGCCATCTTTGAGCTTGTTGGAGTTTCCTATATATATGGTAAGAAAAAAATACTGTTATTGAACAGTCCAACTAACATTTCAGCGTATGATAAAGTAGTGGGTAATGTGAAATTCTTAAGGAAAGGAATAACACTTTTTTTTCTAAAAAAAATCTGAACTTCAGAACTCCCTTATTTTGAATGGAAACACGGTGGGACTTCATTGCTATAGAATTCCTGTAAATCCATGTATTCCAAAGACTTTCAAACAGTCTAATGCCCTTTTCCCAGCAATAGCTTAAAGCCAATGCTTAGAGATCAGTATAAGAATAGACCAAGTGTTTAGTGACACTTCTCCAGGAACTCTTTCGCACTCCAACAGTTTTAGGGTCAGAGACTTCCTGACTCAGAAGCAGTATCTTTGCTTTTGGCAGCTTTTGAAGGATTTCTTTTTCATGTACACATCCAGCCTCCCCTTTAGTCCATCTGTCCGTAACACAGTATCAAGACAATGCAGTTACTCAGGCTGTTTAATCATGCACAGTGGCAACACTGGTTGTGTTGATCCGTGTTGACGTACATTAAATTATGAGGAAGATCCTCAGCTAACATAAAGCAGCGCAATTACCTTGGTGCTACTGTAGCTACATCAGTTGATACCAGCTGGTGATTTGCTCCCATACTTACCCAGTGCTCTCAGGGGACTGGTTCTTGGAAATCTGTCATCTCAGAAGGCTGTGGTAGGAAATGTGAAGATCTCCCTACATAACAGATGATTGATTTATATTTGGAGTGTGATCGTGCTGCGTAAGATTTGCCTTCAAAAGCAGAGGAAGGTCTGAATCTCAGTGTTAAAGATGACAAAGATAAGGCTGTTTCGGCTGTTGCTGTGGGCAGGAATGAATTATATATATTTTGTGTCTGCTGGACATGAACAATCCTGAGATGTTTCGCTGAAGGTGATTATACAGCAGCGTGATCTTAGGCTCTGGCCCTGTGCACTGGATACTTAGATCTACCTACACTGTGCGGTCCACTCTAATATAAATGCATTAAAAAATCATGTGTAATTCAGAACATGCAAAATTTGTTGGTCTTACTTGAGAAATTAATGTTACAGATGGATCAGGGCATCAGCCCTTCCTTGTTTTCTCTAATTTCATGGAAATACAGGAGTGTATTTTATCTCCACTGACATTCAATCCAGTGAGCCGGCCTGAGTGGTTGTAAGCTAAGTCAGATGTGACCTAGTGAGGAAATGTTACAGAATACAATGGACAAAGTCAAAACACTGAGAGGAAAGTTGATTTCGACCGATCATGTTTTGGTTGATCGAAATGGTTGTTGTTTTTTATGTCTGTGAAATGTAAGTATTTTGATTAGAGTTGTTTTAGGAGTGTAATCTCTGTGAGTGAAATGGTATTTGTAACTGCTACCAGCTTTACATTCAGCCAGTCTTCTCAAAGGACTGGAGTGTAATGCTTTGAGGTATGTCCTGAAGCTACATCGAGAGGTGGGATTCGGGCATTATTTAGCAGAACTCCTGGTTTAAAAATCAATGTTGGCAAGTTGTGCCATTGCTCTGTGCTTCAGTTTCCATGAAGACACACAAGGTTTGCCCATTCCCTCCCCCTAGTTAGCACCAGGTTTAGCATTTACCCGTTCCTGTGGAAACACCACTGGGTACGTGTCATCTGAGACATGGGCGTCTGGTTATTCTACTGGCCAACTTCCCAGCTTTCCTAAAACCAACACAATTCCATAACAGATAGTGAGTGGGAATGCTCACAAAGAGTAGAAGGGTTTGGTGGGGATTTTTTCCCTCCTTCCTCCTCATCTGTTTGCTGAGAGCACGCCTGAACAACGCCATGCTACAGCACTAGATCTTGTCACTCTTCCCAGCCAGCAGTATCTGCAGCATCGCCCGGTCTGTGCCAAAAAGGTTGTCCCCTTTGAAGCCATTGCCATCAGTGTGCAAGATAAAAATTCCTTCCTTAGAATATTTTTAAATACCCCCAAAACTACTTAAATCTGTACAATTTCTTTGTCCTGTATGCTTTTAAATAAGGATGAAGGTAAATCGGGAGCAGATACTGGCAGTGTTCCTCCTCTGAACGCTGTGTGGCAGAAGCACTACAAACCTGCTGTTGTGGAACAACAGTTTATTAGGCTCGTAAGCAAAGCTGCCCTGCCTAGCAGCTGCTTTGCCCAACAAATTCAGTATCCCTTAAAACACTAACTTTTATGAAAAACATAAATGAACACAGAAATAGTTAGAGCATCGCAAAGGAAGGACTTGAATAGAGGAGAACCTCTTTTTTTGGTTACAGATTACTTTAATGTAATCAGACTTGGAAAAGATCTGCCGATTACAAATCATTCTTTCCGTGCTTTCTGTACCAACTAATCATTAATCAACAGATGTTAGTAAAGACTTTGATATATACTATTTCAAAGATTATTCCCTGGAATTAACCTTTTGCTCGACTAAAGAGCTTCCAGTCTTTTACAGAAAAAGGAAAGATTTACTTTACAATCATTATCTGCTTGACTAATGTATCATAGCCACTTCTACTGCATTAAAGCTACTTTTGTAAGGACTGTTCGTAAGAATACAGCTTGTATATTTGTGATTTGCCCGTTGTAATCACAAGTGAAGCTGCTGCTCTTGTTATATTCCTTCAAGCAGTGCTTAAAATTGGCATAATTTATTTCCAAGCTCTGACAGTTGCTGTTTTACACTCCGCTGACACCTTTCTCCGTATACATGTGCTCTTCATAGGAAGCAGGTTGGCACAATAGTGGCAGGTGCTTTTATGATGAAATAAATCTGTCTTTAGTTCTTGTTACATGTTCCGCTTGCTGAGCTTGTGGAGATTTTTTAAATTAGAGAGGCGCACTTGGTTATTTCCTTGCAATCGTTTATTTTTCAGTAGTCAGTGCTACATAATCCAGTCAAATGCTGTTTTTTTATTTCACATGCCGGTGTGGATGTTTATTCTCCTGTTGTTTAGATCATGATGCACGATTGGTAAAAAATAGCTTCAAGCTGCGGGTACTAATTTGATCATCAGCATAATTCGCACGGTTGCATTTTGTAAAGTGAAGCTAAATACAAAGTTCCTTGTGCCTGAGTGAAAGACTGTTGGAAACTGAAAACGTATGACCTTAGCTTTACTCGTCCTCCTTCTGGAACTGTTTTTTGACAGTCTGTTGTCAGGAAGGTTCATCGTCAGAGCGAGTGGCAACTGCTGCAGTGCATTTGTAGAAAGTGCTAGTAATTTTGAACATTTTAGCTGTAGCAGAGTATTGAAGTAGCTGTCTGTCTCGGTTTGCCTGCTCCTTTTTAATGGATTTTATATATGCAGCACTTAGGAATAAATCAGCCTACTTGAGAGAGTGGAAATTGAGATATGGAATATCATGTATTGTTTATTTCCCAAAGTTCTTCAGCAGGCCTGACTGATCTGAGAGGGAGGCCTGATACACTGAGATTTAATCGCCTTTCTGTTAACTAAAGCATCCTTTGCATTTTTCTGTGGAACTTAACGAACCTATTTCCAGTCTTTCACCGGGAAAGAGATGAGTACTGTGTAATCCCTTTATCTGTTTACATGCATGGGACTCCTGAACTGCTAATATTCAAAAGAGCTCGAAGCTAAGAATATCTGCCAACGATTCCAAGAAGTTACTACATTTTTTAATTGGAGTGTCAAACAAACCTGTGCAGATTTGCACGAAGCTTGCATGAATTTTGGGGTAACCATTCCATTAGGTGTACCTCCTTCACAGCAGCAAGGGTGGCTGAAGTAAAGACACTGGGACAAGCTTTAAAGTTTGTGGAAAGACCCTTCAGCCCATACCTCGTGCTCCTACAACTAGTCTAAAGCTAGTTTTGTTCCCTCCACAGCACGCAGCAGGGATGATCGCTGTGTGAGCATCTCCCAAGTAGCTGGCTGCACATGGTGCGCTGAACTGTAATAAGCAGGTAAATAAAACATAGGGGCAAATCGTTCAGTTGCAGCTAAGATCTCCTTTCAGGTCCATAACATGGTGACCCCGGGGGTTGCCATCAGTCCAGGCATACAAAGCTCTAACAGGAAACGGAGAAACACACAGAGAGTCAGATGGGTGCTGAAGTACGGTGATTCCAGGGGTCGTTAAAATGGCGTGGGTTGTACAGAGAAGAGAGGAGACTTTCTGAAGAAGACCATTTTCTGTAGTCAGTGGAAAAGAGAAAAAGGAGAGGAATTACAGTTACAGAAAAAAATCTGGCACCTGGGTCCCCTTGGGTTAGTTTTCTAAGCTTACTTCTGCTGCAGGTTGTACTTTTCCTCTCCCCTAAATACAGTTCTTGCAATACCTTCTTCTGGTTTAACTTCTGCATTTTCCTCCTCTATTTCTTATCATAACAGAGTTTTTCAGCTGCTCTCTGACCTGCTATCTGCCTGAACTGGCTTACTCTGTGCTCACCCTCTGAGCTGGGCCTTTAGGACTGCCCTGGCACAATCCAGCCCTGCTGCTTTCTTGGAGGCGCGTCAGAAGACACGAGATATTGAGCCGTTGCTATTTTTTACCCTTTTAATTCTTGGAACAGTCAGGTGGATAGATTTCTTTCTCCTTGATATCAACAGAAAGGCTTCAAAATTAGGTGGATCAAGCCTGGGGATTATCCCTTCTTATACTCAGCAGCTGCACTGGCTTTCTGTAAGGGCAAGAAGAACATAAAGCAGTTTATTACTTTTGTTCCAAGTATTTCCTCCCTTACTCAATGACTTCTTTCTGATATTTGAGCTTCATCCTTTTCCCCGCATCATAAAAGCTGGACTAAATGCTGTAGAATAATGCTTTGTGCAATTTAAATGTCAGAGACAACCACCTGCCTTATTAGATAAAATTGGCACAAATCGGAAATGTTTGTGTGACGGAGGAGCTCAGCCTTGGGCCGCAGACCTCCCTCTTCTTATCACCAGTAGAAGAGCCGGAACAAATTTCAATTTTGTTTTTATTACTTTTGGCCGCTGAGCGAGGGCCGTTTCCCTACCCAGCTCCGCAGAGCAAGGCTGGAAAGCACGCTGGCGTGACTCCGGCCGGCAGGGGGCACCCA